GTTAAAACCAGCTGAAAACGCTTCAATTTCTTTCAGTTAATTTTTATCCACTATCAAAGTTCTTATTCTTTAACCTATTACTTACCTGAAGGCCTAACCCTACAGCTTTGCTTAGGCTGGGAGCTCTGGGACAGGGAGTTTCTGCTGGTAGGCTGGTACAGGACATTCTGGTTGATGCTTTGGCTTGTACCAGTGTGGTCCTGCCCACTTTGGTAGAGAATGTGAGTAGCAGCAGGCACAGGCTGAGGCTCCAGAAACTGAATGAGGTGTGAGTAGTTCCCTCCTTAAAGCTTTAGGAGTTACTGTTCTACCATATTAACTGTCCAGATGGGCTTTGCAATGCCCATAACCCTCAAGAGCAGGTATGTGGTGAAACTTGACAGGAGAATTAAAACAATTGAAGTAATAACCATTAAGAAGGAAGCAGCACTTGCTGGATGCTGTCCCACAGCTCCAGAGTCTGGGTGGTGGGTGGTGCAGTGCTAGTTCAAAAGACTGATAGTTGCATGCCAGTCCTGCCACAGACTTCTTGAGTGATGCTGTTACATGAAGATGTGCTTCCACTACAGTAAATCTGGAGGAGCACAGCTGATATTTTGACTCATCAGGTGAAAGGCCTTTTTATTTTAAAAAAAAGCTCGTTTCTGTCATTCTGGCATCCCAAGAAATGAAGCATTCTCAGTTTGAAGCTGAGATTCTTTTGTTACTCGCGTGTGCCTCGATTCTGAGTGATGCCTGTTGGTGACAGTGAGACCTGGCTTTCAGGTGTTTTTGGGAAGCTCTTGGGACACCCAGGTGCAGATGGCTGGCACATGGTTGGCTCCTGGATGACAGAGTGCTGTGCTGGCTTTGCAGAGCAGTGTCCTGCACAGTGGGAATCTCCTGCAGTGGACTTGGTGAGGCCAAGGACACTGCTGGACACAGATGACACCCCACTGTCCTTCAGGGAATGGACAAAACAGGAAAGACATTACAGGCTGCTCTGAGGGGAACTTTTCTCTCCATGGGAGCTGACCTAGTTCTTACTTTAAGTTAGCACAAAGACAATTTGTGCTGGTTTTGATGCTATTAGGACTTGAACAGTGTATACACCCACAGTCTCTGAATCAGATACTCTAAACTAATAGTTCAAATTAGAGGGTTTTTTCCTTTTTTTTTTTTTTTTTTTGCTGGAGCAGAAACTACTTTACTTAGCAGCCACTGGTTCACTTTAGCTGGTAGCTTCAAGAAATCATTCTTTCAATTGATTCACATGCTTTACATGATTCTGTGTTTTATTCGACCAAATGAAATCTGGGTAGTTTTAGGTCACTAAGAAACATGGCTGTTTTTGCAAGAAGCTTCCTAAATCGATATCTACAGAAGGAGAGGAACAGGTAGAGCCAACACCCCTAAAAATAAAACCCCAAACCACCCCTGACTCAATCTCTTTGTCCTCTTTATGTAACTCAATGCAGAACTATTTGTCTGAGCAGTTCAGCTGGTTCTACCCTAAAATCCAGAAGGCTTGGTGTTGTTCAGACTCACATCAGGAGCTTCAGTTTGTTTTGTACACAAATCTGGGTTTCTGGCCTCTGTTGAAGGTTCAGCTCCAGAGAAAAGGATGCTGATGTCTCACAGCTCTGGTTCTTCATGTTTCAAATGGACACTTCTTGTGGAACTGGTAGCATGGTCTTGTCCATTTAGCTCAGAGCTTCTCAGAGGCTGCACTTGACAGGCCAGAAACCTCATTCTCACAAGTTTAGCTGATGCCCTTGAGATCTGCTCACTGTGCACACCCCCAGTCCAGCCTGCACACCTGGTCACCCTGGTACTGTCCACTGGCAGAACAGTGGGAGTCACAGATCCAGGGGGATCCAGATGCCAGGGGGAGCAGGAGGGAAATCTGGGCTTGGTTAATCTGTTACCATCCCACACACAGGTACACTTTGCCATTTAATGAATTACTTGGGGAATGAGATGCCTTTCAAGTGTCTAATCACTTAAAACCTAAGGAGGTTGCACGTGGTCTGTGACAGTTCAGGAAACACTGAAGGTTATGGTGAGAATTGGGAAGTGGTGCTGGGTATTAAAGGATGGTATTTTGTTAGGACATCCACTTCAGAGCAGTCTGTGGGGTGGGTGTGTTGAGCACAATGGATTTATGGGTTTGAGCCTTACCTGTTTTCTGTGTTGCTGCTGTAACTCCACCACTTTGTATGATCAGCTTTTTTACCTGATCTCAGTCTTGCATAGGGCATTGGATCCTAGCTCCAAATGTGGCATGCAAGACTAGAATCCCAACTGAGGACACTTTAGAGAGTACTGATAATCAAGTGGAGACTAGAATTCTTCCAGAAGTAGTTAACTGTCCATTGACTGGGATGCTGTCTGGCCAGAGAAATCTGCTTTAGCACTTCAGAAATGTCTGTAAAAAAAAGTGTCTCTGTAAATCCTTTGTGCGTACTGGTGAGAGATGAAGCCAGTTCTGGAAGAGCTGATAAATGATGTGATTATTTTAACCACTCGATGCATATTTACTGTTCACAGTATTGCTACACAGGTAATTAATAATAGCCAATTCTTGTGTGTGTTTCAGCAGGGAGGAAGGGCAGGGGCAGGCTTGTTGCACTTCACAGCTGCTGCCCTCCAGGGTCCTGTGCCACTGTCACCCCATTCTCTTGGGAGAAGAGGTGAGGATTTCTACCAGAGTGGCTTCACTGTAGAGGTAAAGCTGAGTATATTAAGCAACATTCTGCATAAAAGCAGATCAGCCATTGCAGAAAGAGGAGCTTTGAACAGGTGCCAGCACTTCCTTCACACTAGGGACAGAGTGGTTTTGAGAAGGGATATAAAGAGGTTTAGGAGAGTCTCCATCCTCGAGTGTACCCAGGTAGCAGCTGGACAAGGCTATGAACAGCCTGATGCATTGTCACAGCTGGTCATGCTCAGTGTGGGGGGTGATCCTGTATGTGTGTTGGGGAAAGGATTGTCCTCTGCCCCTCTACCCCCCTCCCCTTACTACAAAGCTGATGATAAGCTCAGAAAATTGATAATTTTAGTGCCAACAGGTTTTCTTCCTGGCCAATCAAAACAAACATGCCATGGATAAGGAAAGGAGGGTGCAGACACTTAAGGTAAACACAGAAATGACAGTTGTCTTCTGTTAGAGTGGTGCTGGCTGCAGCTGTCTGACATACCTGTGTGTCTGTCTGTGTGTCAGGGTCTCTTGGTCACCATGTCCCCCCGTGGGTGACCGTTCCCATGGGTGTCTGTACACACCTGGCAGTACCTCAGTGTGTCTGCTGGGCCACGTGTGTCTCTGGGTGTCTTTCAGTGTCCCATGTCTGTGTCTCTTGGTGTCTGTGTGTGTATGTTGTGCTAATACTGCTGTAGCTGCCTGATCTCCGTGGCTTCTTAGAGAGTGATTTTTAATTTTTTTCCCTTTTCCTCCCTCCCCCTCCCCTCCACCTGCCCAGCATTGACCCAGTGTCATCCCCAGAGCAGAGAGTGACCCCTCTGGTCAGGTCCCTGTGTCCCTGCTGTCCCTCCATGGGATGGCTGCTCTGAGGTCACTTCTGGCATGGCCCCTATGGCTGAGCAGCCCTTTTGGAGCTGCAAGAGCACAATCCCCACAGCGACTTTGAAAAGAAACAACTTCACACAGATAGACGGGCTCGAGACAAACACAGGCTGAGAGTCACTTTTACAAGTTTCTTTATGAAATTAAATGTTGCCCCTGGTTGGTCTGGGGGGAAGATATAGTGCAAGAAGGACTTTGTACAAGCTACTGAATTCAGATATCCCTGGATGACCAGACTTTGGTCAGCTACATCATCAACAAACACTGGATTTCTGAGCTCTGCAGACAGTGCTCACTCACACTTGAGCTGGAAAGAGCCAGTGTCTTCCTTCCACTGTCAAAGGATGTCTCCTAATCTAGGGAATTCAGTCAGTATGGCTTCTAACTCTCACTATGGTAAGGCAAATCTTTCTTTTTTGCTAACCAAGGTTTAAATTCATTCTTTTTGGCCATCATTTGAAACTTAAGTACTTAAAGTGAGGTTCTTTATGCTAAGTTTAGGCCTTTATAAAGTGGTTTTCCATTTTTAAAAGTGTCAGTAATACTCCTTGAATTTGAGGGTCTGTGGGAGTTTGCATAACAATGACGTTGCAGAGTTGAACAGCAGACTCTGACTTCTGGGAGCTAGATTTGCAAATATTGACCTTTCTTTAAAATAAAAAAAGAAATTAAACAGACAAAACAGGCATCAAGTTAACAACATCCGACAAGAACAATTACAGACTTACAAAATACACAGTTCTGATTTTTACCATAAATAAACACATTACAAACAATGAGCATTTTCATTGGCCAGGAAATATGGCAGAATGATGGGGAGACAAGAATCTAAAGAATTGAGTATGGTATTAATTAGGCACATTTTTCTCTAACTTATGTAACTCAAACCCACTAGAGAGATTCTTCGACTTGACTCATGCTGCAGGTTGGCACAGTTTAATGTAGGACACCGTTCAGCGGTGCTGTTGGACTAGAGGGAGGGAGGAGGTCACAGTGCAGTGCTCACTGTGCTCTGAGTGCCTGCAGAGGCTGCTGAGTTAGCTGGACACGTGGAGGAAGATCATAGCTCTGAGAAATGCAGGGCACGGGGGTGGGCAGAGCAGAAGGGCTCATCCCTCCTCCTCACGGACTCTGAACTGTTGTTCTGAGCACGGGGTCCATCAGCTGCCATCCCCTGTGACAGCTGCCAGCCAGCAGTGGTGGGCACGGCAGGGAAGAGTGAGTCCAAGTACAGCTGACAAGCAGAATCCCTGGGCTGCAGCCTGTCCAGCTCGCTGCTGTGCGCTCCTGGAGCTGTGCCTGCCGGCCAGTGCGGGGCTGGCTCTGGCACCGCTGCCCACGGGTGTGCGAGCGCCCACGTGGCCTCACCTCGGAGCCAGCAAAATAAATAGGGAAGGCAGGAGCACGCGTGCCATCCTCTGTAAACACAGCGTTGGATGGACCTGCCGGGACTGGTGGATAAAGTGCTTTCTCAGAAGGGGTTCAGGCACAAACACGGCTGCCCCTATTTCCGGAAGGGTGTCAGCCTGCTGATGTTCTGCCAGAAGTTCGAGGGCTTGCGCTTGGGCTCTGCCAGCATGAAGACCTGCTGCTGAGGCAGCGTGGTGGGCAGGGTGGGGTGCTTCTGCCGCATCAGGAAGTCGTAGTAGGGCCTGGTGACAGCTGGGAGGAGGAGGAGGAGGAGGAGGAGGAGGAGGATATGGGAAGCAGGTTAGTTAGACACAGCTCCTTTCCCCCCACTGTGCTGCCTTCCCCAGTCCCCATTACAGCTGCAGGGCTGTTTTAGTGTTACCCTTCCTTTAACTTATCCTTACTTTCAGCAGTGCCTTTTAGGATTAGAGCTCATGTGAAAGGCCCAGAAATGTGCTGCACAACTGTCAGGTGTTCTGGCAGCACGACAGCAGGGCTAGAGAGCTGCAGCTCATGACTGGTGACAAACTTAGCCGGTGCTTTTGGCTGTGCTGGGAGAAGCAGCTGCTGTGCAAGTGCTGCTGGAGCCTGTTCCAACCTCCTGGGCTGCATTTCTGAGCAGGAATGGTCAAGGCTGGTCTGTGCTGTGCAGTCTCCTCTAATGCTGTGCCCCAAGGGCTTTGCTCTGTTGGTGTGGTCTGGCCTCCTTCCAAACTTCCCCCTGTTTGCAGCCAAATCTTATTTCTGATCCTTTTTTGACATTTAGCCAAGCTTTCTTTGAGGAGCTGTGGCTGTGCTTTAAGTGCTGGCTGGTACCACCAAGAGGAAGTGGTTGTTTCTGTGGGTTCAGAGGAAACCAAGCAACACCTCTTCCTCTGAACAGAGAGAAGGGGAAGGTGGCATCAACAAGGCTTTCAGCCAACTGTGCTGTGGGCACAGGAGCCTTTATTTTGCTTGACTTCACTCTCCGCTGGCTGCTGCTAATTGTCCTTGTCTCTGACAGGTTGAATGAAGAGCTCTGCTCAAGCATGGTACCTAGCCCTGGCACTGTGCCCAAGGGACAGGGCTCAGAGCATCTTCCACAGGCACAACTGCTCAGCAGGAACAGTCCCTGCTGCAGTGACCTCTGTGGCCCTCTGTGCACCATGGGGATGACCACAAAACTTGCCTTTTGCCAAAGGGAATGCACACTGCTGGGAAAGCCTGGCTCCTAGGGAGAGGCTGTGCACTGGCCTTGGAGCAGAAGCTGCTGGGTTTTGGCTGAGAGTTGATTATCTGCAAAGTGACTCTCCTGGAGTTAGGAATAGTCTCCTGACTCCAGCCATCCGAATCTGCCAGGAAGTGTAGTGCAAATTGTCACCATCTGGCCTTCTCAAGGGTTTGTTAATGCCACTTCATTGAAACCTCTCCCATGTAGTAAATACAGAGCCACCCCCCATTCTCAAACTGTTCCTCTGTTGAGGTGTGACTCACCCTTGGGCTTCCCAGCATGGTGCTGCTTGCTGGCATTCAGCATTGCCTGCTTTTTCTGCACCTCCGTGATGGAAAAACCTGGAAGATAAAGCAGATTTCTGCAGTCAGCAGCAGTTTGTCATTTGGTACCTCGGGAAAAGACAGGGGCAGGCAAATGCCAGAGGTGAGAGGCCACAGTTACTGGCAAGGCTGGGGGGCACAGCCTACTCTGTGCTGCACAAACCCCCCACGCAGGGTTTGCTGCCTGCCCCTTAACCCATGCTGCACTGGGGGGAGAAGCCAGCCCAGGCCAGTGGTGGCTGAAATCTTTCAGATCACACACTAGGCTGAGTTAAGAAGGATTTGGACAAAACAACACAAACCCTCTTGTAGAGTGAGAACCCTTGACTGAACCTGTTCTATACTTCTGGACCCTGTGTGTAATGTATTGACTGTTTGGTCAACCCTGCTTGAACTCCTTAAGACACATCAGCCTCCCTGAAGACAAACTGCAGTGATGGTTTATGGTGGTTTGCAGCTTTTTAATTTCACAGTTTCATTCAGAATGTGTAATTCAGCAGCCCAGAGCTGCCCTGGAGCAGCTGGCTTCCCCACCCTTTCACTCCTCAGGCATTTCCAATGGGTAAAAAACGATGAAAAACAACAAAAACAACAACAACAACAACAAAAAAGGAATTTATTAAAAAAAAAATAGAAAAAACAACAATCTCACAGCATTTCTCTTTCCATACCTGTCTCCTGGTCGAGCTGCACCTGCCTCCTTTCATTCTCAAACGCCTTCAGCCAGCGCTGTTTCTGCTCAGGCTTTTTTGCACAGAATAAATGGACTTCCTCAGTGTCTCTGCAATGCAGCTTAAATGCATTTTTCACACTGATATTGAAGTCCTTGTCTTTCCCATCTTCTACATCCAGTATTTCCATGTCATCCATGTTGATCCGACTCTTGTAGTACAAGATGTCCCTGCGCAGAAGGTCCTGAAAGAGAGATCACAACACATGGTGCTGTTTCTGGGATATGATGGAGTATTCAACCTTCCTGGTGTCATCACAGTAAAACAAATGACTTCTGGATTTGAGTCTGTGCAACTGCAGAGTGCTGAGCTGCTGTGGGCACTGTTGGGAACCTTATGGTTTGTTCTGGCAGTGGGGTTAGGACAGGCTGGTGTCTGTGTTGGGGCCTTTCTGCTGCCCTGAAGCTTGATCCCAAATCCTCATTAAGCCTTTGACAGAAAACTCTGTTTGAATCCTTAAGTTCCAGTTAAAAAAGCAAAAATAGTATTAATTAGCTCATGGTTTTTTGTTGGCAATAAAAAGTAACTTTGAGAACAGTGATTTTCGTGCCTAAGTTAGCTGGAGCTACCTGCCTGCTGTGGAATATGCAAAAAATGATTGGCACATTCAGTTCTGAAATTTCAGAGGAAGGTACCGTTCACTGGCTCCAAGAGGGAAGATTTCTTTTATTATTCAGCTTATGAAAAACAGCATGAGCTGTACCTAAAAACTTACATGTGCTCTTAGTGTGGCCTTACTGACTGCCAAGGCCCACTGCAAATCTGCAGTTTTTTTCTGAATACAACACTAAGGTGAAAGTTCAGTTGAAAAACAAGGTAGTTAAAAGAACTTGTGTGACAACATACATAACTGAGTTGTACAGAATAAGCCCACACTAACCCCAGAAGCAGTGCAGTACTTTCCTGTTTTGCTGTGAGAATTAGACCAGTAGCTGATTGCTGTGCTCAGGTGCACAGAACACCCCAGGACTTCAGAGGAAAGATTGCAAAGAATGCACAGAGAAGGCTCAGTCCAGGAGCACACGAGGCCAGGAAAAATTAGGGAAACAAAGGGGTGGAGAGGGAGCTCACTTAAATCCATCAGCACAGCAGTAGCCAGCATTCATGGTTACCTTCTTACAGCAGACAAGCTGGTGATCGAAGAGGAAGAACATCCTCTGTTGGCTCTTGGCTTGAGGGTGGGAGATTTTGGCTAATTCCCCAGAATAGATGAGTTCTGAGCTTCTGACTAGGACATCTTCTCCCTAGAACAGCACAAGGAACAGGTTGGTCTCAGCCTCATCTGAAAGTAGGAGCCTGAATTCCTGCTGACAGAACTCATGTGGGAATGAGAGAGAGCCTCTGTGCTGGAGGACAGTCCTTGGCACATCAGGGAGACACTGTGTCCTTGGCACCCAGGGAATGGGAAAGGAATTTGATTACAACAATAGCAGATTACATTTTTAAAAATCTCCTTTTCCAGGGAGTCTACTCAGGAAAGCTGCTTCATCCCAGACATAAAAGAGGCACAAGCAAGGAGCTAAGAATTTAGCCTGACATCCTTGGGCAGGGAGGCAGTATAGCTTTATTGAGTCTAGGATTTAGAAAATTAGTATTTTGTTTCTTTTGTTTAGCAATTCTTTTTAATGAGTCTACAGGGAACCTTGGTTTCCTCTGTCACTATGCCAGAACTTGCCTTTCTGCAACAATAATCTGTTTTATTAAGAATTAAGGGGCAATTCTGCTCCTCTTAAGAGTTTGAAGTCACTCAGGATAAAATGGGGGGCAAGAGAAAAATAATAGAATTTCACTAATCTACATGCAAGGAAAAATAAGGAAGCAAAAATCTAAGGAACATGCAAAGGCAGCTGGTCTAGCCAGGTTATATGCAAGACCTGCTCAGTTGTACTAAAAGATCATAACTGTTTAAAAAACAAGACTCTCCACAAAGATGGGCAGAGATCTGGGTTGGGGCTGGACAATGGGATGTCACTGTAGGGAGAAGCTGTTGGCAGAGCAGAAGGAGAACAGCGTGGAATTCCTCGGGGGGCGTCTCCCACCTCCCAGTCCTCTATGGAGCTCTGCCACTGAGCGATCTTGTCGATGTTCTCCAGGCGCCGCTTCCTCTCGTTGATGAGCCGAGCCACGTTCTTCATGGCGTTCAAGGCAGCCTCCACATCCTTGAAATCCCTGGGGAGGGGCAGACAATGGTGTGTGGGTGCTGTGCCAACACTCCAGAGAGCAGCCTGGCACAGAGCTGGGGATGGAACCAGGAGTTCCAGCCTGTCCCAAGCTGTTCTGTGCTGGGATCAGACACCTGCTCCTGTGGCAGCTTCTCAGACACTGCTGGTTTTGAGGCACAAATTATGGTCTGGTAACAAATCTAGGCTGCCTCTGGGGAAGGGAAGGGGGTCAGTAATCAAATTTAGCTACAGAGTTGTAAATACAAATTGCTGAAAGAACCTCCAGGTTCTCATTTTTCTTTCTGCAACATAATACAACATATTCACAGTGCTGCTGTTCCCATGAGGGACTGGTCTGTGGTGCAGAGGTGAAGCAGTTTGACAGTAACTTGTTTCAAACAGGAGCTGATGGTTTATCTGGCAGGGTAGGACAAAGGCTGATCTTCCCTCCTCCACGCACCATCTGTGGCCACCAGCTACTTCTGCTGAGTTCACAGCAGCTGGGGAGGAGCTGAGCTGCACAACTTGGCTCTAAGGCAACTCTCTCAACATCTGTGCACTTCCTTAAGGAGCTTTCTGCTCCCAGGTCAGCTTCAGACAACATGCTTAGAGATTTAACAAGACATGCTTAAAACCATTCCGGGAAATACCAGGGCTGCAATTAGGAAGGTGAAATTAAGTCAAACCACAATGGACTGATATCAACACTTTCATACAGATTCTCTCATGTTTTCAGATACTTAATTAAGTATCTTATTAAGTATCTTATTAAGTAGCCAAAGGCAGTGCCTTCACCCTGAAAGTGAGCCAGGGATTTGGAGGCTTTGGAGCTGACACTGATGGGGCACCCAGTGTGCATGGCTTGACTGCTGCAGGACACAACTTCCCACTGGTGAAGTGCAGCTGAATGGACATTTTGGGATATATTCAACCAATGCTTTTGGAGGCAAAGGTCTCAACACCACCACCAGAAACATGTAGCTCCAAAGTGTGTATGTGCTGGTATCACAGCTGCATGAGCCAAATAAAATAGGAAAGGGCCATTATAAAGTGGAACTTGTAACTCTCGATCTTTGACAGGAAAGCTCAGTGCTACTGTAGTGAAAAATTATATATTTGACATAAAGATACTTTTTTCTTTTCCTGATTTCTATGAGGTAACCTGTAAGAATTGTGGTGTGGGCTGCAGTCAGCCACTGCATGAACCCATTTCCATGAGAGCAGCTTGGCTCCTTCCCTCCCTGCTCAGCATCCTACCTGTGCTGGGGGTTGGTGTACTTGAGCAGCTCGGCCAGCTGCAGGGGGTATTTGCAGATTTTCTGCACGGGGGTGAGCAGGAAGCCATCCAGGGAGATGTCAATCATCTTCTGCAGCAGCCGGCAGGCCTCGAAGAAGTAAACGTACTTGTTGACCTTGGTGAGGCGCGACAGCTCCATGCACGCGTTGGGGTGGTTGTTGCAGTACTCGGAGTAGATCTGAAACTCTGTTTGCTGCAAGGAACAGTGTTGCAGTGTGCTTCTGGTTAATGCTATGTTCTGCCCCAGTTGATGGTTTAGTCCAAATTATACCCTCCCACCCACCTTGTCGATCTATCCTGAATTACCTGTCAATCCTACCTTGTGCCAAACCCCTGCTTGGAGTTCTCCTTTGGAAATCCCCTAAAAATTGGACATCTCAATAGTTTGTGTGAGCCAATTTACCCCCCTACCTCCCTCATTGGACAATGTCTTTGTGAACCCTACCCTTTACCCCTCCTCAGAATTTCTCCAATTTGCTGATGATTTGTACCCTCCCCATGAACCTCCTCCCCATATTTCAACTGTTCCACCCTTGTGTTTTTGTCTTTTGCCCCCGAATTCCCCAGAGTAATAAATCCTCTTTTATCCTATGCAAAAGACCTCCCTCTCCTCCTTGCCTCCTTAGAACACAAACTGACAGCAAAAGGCCATAGAGAAATTGCTCTAACCACACTTCAGGTTATTTGCTCCTGGGGTGTGACCCACCCCTGGGCATGGGGCCACAGTGGCCAAGTGAGTGTGACAGGACAGGGAGGCATTCACTGTCCATGGTCCTCAGGCATGCCCTGGCACAGGCTCCTCTGTGTGTCAGTGATTTGTATCCTGTCACTGAACTGTTCAGTGATTCCTATCCTCCCCAGGCTCTCAAGCCCAGACACCCAAAGCTAGAGGTGGGGCAGGGTGCCTTACAGCTTCTGCACCTGCAGCTCATCTGAGAGACCCAGACATTCCCACATATTCTGGTTTGGGCTCAGATGAATGTTTTAGTGCCCACACCAGCCACAGCTACTCCTGCACTGACCTGAAAATTCCATCACTGCAAACTCGTCCTACTCAAGATTTTAAAATCTTCCTATTGTTAATATGAAGTACATTGTATTTTGTTATTGATTTTATGTAAAATCTATAGATAGGTTTTTCGTACCTATTCCCAGAGCTGGAATTGTTTTCAGTAACACTCAAATATTGCTCCTATTAACCAGCTGAGGAAAGCCCAACCACTCCCCATTTCTCAAAGAAATGTCCTGTAGCTCCTGTGGCTGTAGAAAGGGCATTTTCAAAGCACCTTATCTTCTGAACACCATAATGCCAGAGGTTTATGAATCTACCCAGCTGCCCTTTTCCCATAAAGTCAAATTTACGTCCATACTTCCTATATTTTCCCCAATGTATCAAGGTCTGGGAGGGATTATAGTGGCTACAGAGTTATGTGTGTTTGTGCATTGTTATGTTACTTACATATTCCAAGAAGCATGAGCCAACTTCACTCAAATGTGGGTGGTCTTTGTTAAATTTCTTCTCTAGTGCTTTAACAAATTTCTTCTGGCACCTGTAGATGTCCTCAATATTCCCAAAGATGATCTTCAGCTGCTCTTCTGTAAACATGTCCGCTCTCTTGCGGCACTGCTTAATGTAACCCTAGGAGAAAACAGAATTGGAAAACTTCCTGGGCACCTGCTCCGTGGCAACAGAAAGCCTCAAGGACTGCAGTCAGGTGTACAGCAGGTCCCTGGATTCCTTTCCTGCAGAGATGTACCCATCCTTAACTATTATTTCCTCTAATCTTCCCCTAAACACGGTAGAAATAGAAGCTGCCCCAGACTCAGGGCAGCCCTGGGTGATGCTGCAGCCCACACCTGAAGGAGCCACACAGCTGCTTTCTCTCCTGCTGAAAAAGCCTTGATGTGTCTGCAGGAAATGGGGTGCCCTGAGCCCAGCACTGGGAGATTCAGACCAGCTAAGTCCAGTTGTGGATCTGGTTTGGGTGCCTGCCTGACTCCAGGCAGTGGAGAGCTCCGAGGGGTGGGGGGACACTGCAGCAGGAGAGCCTTGTTTGTTTGTGTGTGCTCTTTGCCCCAGCTGCCTCTACTGGGAGCCACTGCACTTCTGTACCATTGCAGAGGGGATTTCTGTTCCTGCAAAAATTCCAACTGCCTTCAGTCCCTCAGTGTACACAGTGGATCTCTTTTAGAAGAGGTGTCACAATGTTCAGCATATTTGACAGTAAAGGACCCAATTGGCTGAGCATCTCGCAGTTGTTTTGATCTGAGCATGACTTGCCTGAAGGCTGGAGTTGCTGATTATATTACCCCAGAACATATATTAGAGAGGACAGCAGTGCTAGACATTTACTTTTCTCTGGCTTGGGAAATTCAATTAATTCCATTTAATCAGAGCACAAGTGAGTGCTCCAAATGCAGAGGCATTTGGGATTTTGCTGTAATGAACTGTCTTCTGTTTCCTGACCATATAATGGCATGCAGCAGAACTGATGAAACTACAATCTCATTTTCAGAAAAGTTCCCTGCTTAGGGTCCCTTTCTGGGCAAGAATGGGACACAGTCCATTATCTTTCAGACTAGTTCTTACAGTCCCTTCCCCATTTATTCCTTACCTCACAGATGTCCTTCAGGTGCTTGATGTAGTCTCTCTCTGTGCTTATGATCTCATTGATGACGTTGGTCCTCATTTGGTCTTTGGTGGTCTGGCCCATCCCGAAGCGTCGGGAATCGTCCTCTTTGCCCCCCTCTACCTTTAGGGGATAATCTTCCATGGGCTCATCCTGGTTTACTCGCAGCTGTGCAGGCACACAAGATGTTCACTGTTTGTATTGCTGAACAGCTCTGGCAAGGAAGTTTGGGATGGCAGGCAAAGACTGAGCTGGGACAAGGTGTGAAGAGGGTATGTGTATTGCCTGGAAATATTTTCCCCTGGGGAAGCTGAGGCCAGACGGTCACTTTGGGGAGGGTACATTCATGGCAGCTGCTCCCACTCTGACATGGGCGGTTTTAAGCAGACATTTCTTATGGACAGAAGTCACAGGAATAATATGGAGCGCTTCAGGAAGAATCCACATCAAATCAGGATAAAAATGGTTTATCGAGTGAAATTTTCTTAAATATTTGAAGGAACATTTTGGGAGGGAGGGGAAAACCAGAAAATGGTTGGGTTTTTATCTACTTTATTGTTCCCATAGTGTCAGTAACAGATCCTGCTTCCCCAGGATTATTTACAGAGAGTACATTGCCGAAGTAAAAGCAGCTGCAGCTGCCTGCGGGCACTAAGGTGGGAAGAAGGGCAGTGCCCGGCAGGGCTGTGTGGCACTCTCGGTCCCCCATCAGATGGCAGCACAGCCCGGGCTGCTCCCCCTGCTCTGCCACAGCCGCGCAGCACCGAGCCAAAGCCGGCACGGAACGCGGCTTTTCACTTCGGAGCTCGCTTTTTTTTGTGGTGCTGCTGTAGCTCTCGGGGTGCCCCTGGGAATACTTTGGACATGACTCAAAGGATCCGTCCCGGCACAGAGAAGGAGTGAAAGATAGGAAGTTAAAACACACATAATTATCCGAATTTTTAGCGCAGTGACACAGATCTGCTTTAAACTTTCAATGTCGTTTCTCCTAGGCTCTGTGACTTACCACCTGATACAAATACAGCTACATATAAAAAACAATGCATACCCCTCCCTTGTCAAGGCAGGTACAAATTACATTTACTCACTGCTGAAGCCCTCAAGATGTGCAATCCTGGCTCTCCTTCACTGTGAGCAGGGCGTCGGCAAGTCTTTAACTCAGACCCTGAAACTCATGTGGAGTGACAGAGTCTTGCAGTGTGACCCAAGCCTCCAGACATACCAGCCCTCCCTGCAGTGAGCTTGAGAGCCAGTGGTAATTAGCAGGAAATCTTTGCCTGGATGCTTGAATAAGTGTTGTCATTCCTCTGTTAAAAGAATTTCTTATTCTGCATCCCTAATGCCTAGTACTAGTCTGCTTTACTCTAAGATATTATGAGAAGTTTTTGCCAGCCAGGACAATTCAGCTTATCAGTAACATGAAAGAAAAAAATTCTGTGTTTTCATTGCTGAAAAAAAAAAAGCAGTGCTGAAGTCTTGGTAATCTTACTTGCAAAACATTCCACTGTTTGTAATAATTATCCAGCTGAGATCATCTCCTGCAACCTATAACAAAACACCTCAAAACTGCCCCACTTCTCCAAGAACTTTTGCTACAAACACCAGATGACCTCGTGTCACCTCCTTTCATGCTTCACCTGGTTTTGGGTCACTTGTGATCTGAAGTGACCTGGATAAAGAGCTAAAGGGCTGAGAATCTCTGCCCTTAGGCACCTAAATTGCCTGTGCAGCGCTGAGGAGCCTGCCCCGAGGTGGTGAAAGCTGTCAGACACCCACACCGAGAGTCACAGTCAGGAGAAAGGACAAAAGCCTTTCTCCTCACAGCAGGACAGGCAGCACAGCAGTTACCACCCTCCTGTCCCCTGCTTTCCCCGGGAGTTCAGATGTGCCTCACAAAGCTGTGTTGGGAATGAAGCCTCTGCAGCTGGGACTGTCCGGGCTGCTGTGCACAGCTCCTCGCAGCTGGCACCAGGGGACAGCCTTGGCTCACGAGCACTGAGTGTCTCACATTGCCCCAGATGGCCGCTGAGACATTTCTTGTGTTCCTCTCCTCATTTTTTAGTGCCTGGCATAGGGTGCAGTGTGGTGCAGTTGGGTGGGCTGAGAAGGTGCCTGTGTGAGTCAGGTGGGTGCATCCTTGGGCCGGGGCATTGCACGGGCCCCAGCAGCAGCTGGAGAGAGGTGCCTTCGGTGCCATGCCCATCTCTGCTGCCTAGGGGACACTGCAGTGAAGACCCCTGCCAGCTGCATCAGGGATTCCTCCAGGAGAGTGTTGCTTGCTCCATGTGCTTGGGCACAAATCGGCCAATGTAGAGATGGGTAAGCAGGAGCCAGGCTGCAAACCAGCAAACAGGGCAGCTGGCACAGCTCAGCTCAGCTCTGCTCCAGCCTGGAGCTGAACCCTTTGCCCTGATTTACTCATGTAGAGGGAGTTCTCCACACCGGTGGCTGCTCAGCCAGGAGGGCACCCTGTACTGTAGCCACTTGTAGAGGAATACTAACAAAACATGCTGAACCATCTCTAGCAGTGCAAGTCCTTAGGAGCCACCACACAACATTAAACCTGGAGAAAAAGAGCAAACACCTGGTGCTAATGGAGAGGACACAAAGAAAGATCAAGATCTTACCCGAACAAAGCTGGCTGGAAACCAGCCTTCACTGTCCAGGATCCTCCCCCACCACCACTCCTTGTTGGTGGCATCCATTACTTCGATGACATCGCCAGCCTTGAATCCCAGCTCCTGGTCATCCATGGTGACGTGGTCCCAGAGAGCTTCTGCATACACCACGCTGCCATCGCTGATGAGCTGTGGGCAGAGCAGTCTCGGTCAGTCAGTCCCTGCATGCCAGAGCACCGTGGGGCTGCAGCCCTGGCCCTCACTGCTGAGCCACACACGTGCTGCTACCTCTGCTCCCCCATGAGCAATGAGCAGTCGGTGCAAGGCTGGCAGCTGATTTGCCTCAGCCTGCTCTCAACAGCATTTATCCAGAATCGCTGGCACACACCACACTTACTACTATAAAACATAAATAATATTTCATATTTCATATTGCTGGCTATGTCTCAGCCAGTAAACAAGACTCAGTGGTCAGTGGTACCTTGTTTATGGAGGATGCTCTGGTGCTGCCAGTGCAGCTCTGCTTTGGAAAGCCTTGAAATAAAACCTTGAGCATCAATATTTAGAGACATACTTCAGAGCAGAAAGCATTTGCAAGCCTCAGAGCTGCTCTGGAATGGGCAGAGCCTGAAGCCTTTAAGGTAGTTAAATGTAGCACTTAAGATGCTTAAAACAAGACTCCTGGAGAGATTTAAGCAGTGATACTGAGGAACAACAGTTATTTACTACATGCCCCATAGGGGCCACACTCTAGGAAAAACAGGATCCCCAACAATTAAAAAATCCCAAGCCAAAACTGAAGCCCATGTGAATGGAAGCTGCAAGGGGGCTCCTGAGCACAGAGATGCTGTGCCTGGTGCCATTGCATTCACACCTGAGCTATGGGGTGGCCAGGTACCCCTTGGGTGCTGTTGCAGTGTTGTGTCTGTGGGCTGGTCCTGCTGGCCACCACAGCAGGGGTGCCTGATGCCACTGGCTTATCAGGTCGGAGTGTCCCTTGGATTTCAACAACTACAGAGCACACACACAGAGTTCCCAGGGCCTGAGTGTGCCTGGGACTGTCTGAACACCAGAGATTTTCCTGAGAAGATGGAGTGCATACTGCAGTTCTGCTAAAAAGGACTTGGCTACTGTGGAGTGGCAGTGAAGGCCTATTTTTCTCCAGGAAAATGGTGCAGTGATGAATTAAAGGAAAACAATGGGGAGACAGTCTGTGAGGCACACAGGAGAAAGAGAAAAGCTGTAGGAAAGCCACTGTCTCTGGTGGGTGTCCCAGCACTGCAGCAGTGTCACCACAGCACACAGGGCATGGCCACCCACGCCCCTTGGGCTGCTCAGTCACCCAGAGTTATCCCCTGCTCTGGGTTACTGCTTCTGCCTCTCCACAAAGGAGAGAGATGCATATTGGAAAAGAATGTCAGGATAATTGTGAGCTGAGTAAATCAGAAAAGGGTTAACAAGGCATTTGAAAGCAAATTGAAATGCAGTCTGCCTTTGGATAGCAAATGCCCCTTCACTGAACCAGAAAGAGCTTAATGCAGTGTTTCCATTCTGACAAAAATAACAGGATGATGGGGAAGCAGAGGGTGAGAGGTTCCCACTTATCTACCCAGGCAGTGTGTAGCCAGAGCTCGGTGGGATGCAGTGCAGTGATGTGTGTCTCTGTGAAAGTAGGGGATGGATTCATGTGGCAGCACCTATTCATGTGGCCAGCCCTATGGAGGGGAGCTGATTAAATTCTCTGATCTCACTCTCAGTGCTGGGCACTCACCTGCACTCAGGTGAGCCCCACACCAGATCACAGCAGCTGCTGTCACACCCTGCTGAGTTACACATTCCTGTGGGAAGGGCTGGCTGCTGCTCAGGAAATGGGCAGAACCTGCTAAACCTTCAGAAAAGTGGCATCCAGCAGGCTTTTCAACATCCAGACTGTGACCAGCACATACAGAACATGGCTCTTTCTCAGACAAAATACTTTCTCTCTGTGCTTGAATATGCCAGCCTGGATCAGTGCCCCGAGTGTGATGTGCAGGCTGGTGCACACACTGTGCATTACCAGAGACACTGAGTGAACTTCTCTAGCACTGAGCTGATCACACAAACAGAGCACTGATGATGTGAAGGCATTAATACCACACAGCACCACACTGTCACATCCTGGTAAAATGATGAGAAGACAGGATACCAATCCTGACACAGCATTAACAGCACATAGGGCTGATACACTCGGCTCCCAGAGCCACATGGCTCTACTCAGAGTCACTGAAAGCCATGGGGCTCAGCAGACAATCCTCAGCTGCTATTTTAATCCATTCATTATTAAAAATACCTTAAATTTTCTCTATTCAACAACAGCCATACTGTGGATATGATTTACAAAATAAAAAAGTCACAACTGTGGCATCACCACCAGGCCATCAAGACACTACCAGTTCTCATGCAAAGGAATAAATAAAACACACCTGGACAACAGGCCAGGATTTATTTAACTGACAACACACATCATGTTTGATTATATATATGGAATAAATCATGAAATAAAGAGCAAAAAAATTTCATCTGCTTTTGGGATTATGTCAATCAATGTAACACAGCAGCCCTCAGCACACCTGCACGTGTTCAGGCTGACAGGCTCTGCCTGCCCTGCTCCCTCCTGTGCTGGTACCCGGCTGGGCAGGGGCAGACCTGGATGCTGAGCAGTGCTCAGTGATCACTGTGGGCAGGGCTCTGCTTCTCCCTGCCCCCAGTTCAGGCTGTGCCTGGTATTTTCCACTGTTTCCAGTCCATCTCCTAAGCTGGTACAAAACCACCCAACACCCCCATTCAAACAGCCCCTTTCCCAGAGCAGGTACTGTTGGGTAGCTCAGAGCCAGGGCTGGCATCTCCATGGCACAGGAGATGTCACTGCAGCAAGGAGAGCTGCCCCATCCTCCCCTGGGCAAAGAGGGACAGGACTCTCCCTAGCCCAGGAAGGATAAAACACACCAGCAGGTAAAAGGGTTTTGGTAAAATGTGTAGGAGGTGGCACCATCAGCCAGCTCTGCTGAGGGAGCTGCCTGGCTTCCCGAGGAGCATGGATGGAAGGGAATTCTCACCACTGCCAAACACCACCTCAGCTCAAAAGGCTCAGCTCGCCACACTTTGATCTTGGCAATTAAAGCAAAGTTTGAAAAACAACTACTAATTTCCATATGAAACAACATTTATGTGCTGCTTTTGTAATGTCAAGGACAACTCAGTACATGTTCTTGAAGAGCCCCAAACAAGTGTACAGCAGAGAGCAGTCAGAAGACAGAGAATGCAGACCAGCCACCTCACAGCTGCTCTAGCCCCTGCAGCTGGCAGTGGGGAAAACAATCAGAAATCAACTTCATTTATTTCTTTACATAAACATTTAACTTTGTAGGCAATATTTGCAACCCAAAGGCAGCACTAGCCCAGATGCTTTGAACCTGAAAATCGAGGGCAGCTCTGTTACTGCCCTGGCCTTTCTGTGTCCAGAGCAGCCCCAGGCTCCTGTCCCAGCCCTCCCTGCTGCGAGGGGAAGGCACTGGGGAAGGTGCTGGGGCTGATGCCTTGGAGTGGCTCCCTAGAACAGAGGCTGGACAAGGTTAAGAGAATAAAGTGGGTATTTATGAAAGCCTTCAATAGATACACCTGGGGCAGTCAGAAGCCTCAGAGGCTACACCCAAAATGGACAATGGGCTGAGTTTTTCAGACAGATACAAGTTTGGTCCATTTACATATCAGGGGTTAATTCTCCAATTACAGCTTCAGCTAATGAAGTCATTTACCCCCAGTTTGCTCCCCCCAATTCACTTTTGTTTATACTTTCTGGGCCTGAGGCTGTAGGGTGTCCTTGGGTTCCAGGACCAGAGGAAATGTTTTGTCTGACAAGAGTATGGAGACAATTAACTCACAGTTTATATGGAGTTTGGAGATATGCACTAAGGCAGTACAGGATTTGGAAAATCGTAAAGGCTAAAATCCTAAGGCATCAGGGCAGCTCCTCCCATGGCACAGAGTGAGGGGAAGATTGATGCATGGCTCCTCTGAGCAGTGCCTACAGAGGCTGCCAAGGATGAGACACAGCCAGGGCTGTTTCCCCAAATTAAGTGCATTACATGTGGGCAAACAGATCTGGCACGTCAGGGCCCATTCCATGGCTTGTTGGCCTTGCAGTTCCTTGGTCCCTGTCTGTCTCAGGCTGGACACCTCGACATAATTACCTTGTATGTCCTGGTCTTGTTTGGACAGCACCTGCAGGCAATGTTAACAGAGGTAGAAAATCTCAGCAATTTACAGAAGGAGGGATGAAGATGCCTTTGGGAAATATTTATCTTTGAGCCACTCATTTCTATTTGAATAAAATTTGAATATCTTTCTCTTGACAATGCCAAGTACACTGGATCATGCAGAGCCAAAAAAACCCAGGAGCATCAAAAGAGCTGGGGAAAGGGAAGATCAGGGAAAAGGTGCCAATAGAATGGATTTTATTTTTCAGCTCTGTGACCCTAAAATAGACATGTTCCACAAAGAACACCTGAACCCAGCCCTTCCTGGGGAGCTAAAATGGTTGCCACGAAGCCTGTGCTCATTGCCTGACCCCTGTGAGCTTGTGTGTAACAGACTGAAGCTGAACTGGTCCAGCACACCAAACATCCAAGCCCTGAGCAGTCCTGACCCCAGAGGCAAAGCCCTCCCACAGGTCCAGTTCTTTCAGCAGTCACTTTGCTTCCAGATCTTCTCCTCTGCCTCCCTCATGCAAGGTGCAGCAGAGGAGGGGAAGAAGGTTACTTACACACATGCCCCAAAGTTATGCTTCATTCACACAAATATTTATTTTCTCTGAACGTGGGCAGAAGCCACAAGTGGCCAAAAGCAGCCTCTACCTTGAACTGAACCCATGGGATAGTTTCAAAATTGTCCTGACAGCTTGCTCTTGCTTCCTCTCAAAACTTTTAGCTTCACTGTCTAATGATGGACAACAGAGATTAAATTTATCTCTCAGAGCTTCTGCCCCCTGAGCAGCAGGCACCGAGTCTGGATGAGTTATCTGGATTGGCTTTCCAGAGCATGTCCCCTGGGGCTGGGTTAGCTCAGCTGAGAGAGATGCTGAAGATGAACCCTGCCCTGGGGGTCCTGCCTCCCCTCACTGCCAGGCAGGAATTTGGGCTGGCTCTGCTAGT